TAATAATATAGTGCCAATATGGTAACCAAAGATTTAATTGAAGTTTAGCAAATTGGTCCAAATTTTGATGCACATATTTTTCTTTAATTTTTTCATTAAAAAGAAACATAAAAAAGGATTTCTATAATTTAATCATTATTTTTTTAATTATTTTATTTGTAATATTGAATATTAGTAAGAGAGTAAATTATGACAAAATCAATTTTCTGTTTTGAAACTGTTAAAATAATTTTGTTTAATTCTTCTGATTATTATACAGAGTATAATTGGATTTAAAAACTTTCAGGCCACTTACTGCACAAACTTATTAAAATAATCGTTGTTATATAAATATAATGATATTTTTGGTTTCAAATCATAATATAATAAATTTAAAATAATAAATTGTGAATTGTTATTTCGCAATTTTTGTGTCTAATTTCATCATTTATATTATATAGCAAGCATTCCGAACGACTTATTTATAAATTTTAATATTGAACTACTATGGTGTTAAATAACATTACATATTTTTCCACCTAAATTGATTTTTATCGAACTCTGTACTTTTTTTGAATATTTTATACATTGTATAAGTTGAACTGATCTGTATCAGTTCTCTCTTATTATTTGCTATGTTATAATCTTTGACAATAGATACATTTATCTAAAACGCTTGTAAATGTAAATAAATTAAAATCATAAGTAATTATAATAGACACTGAATCTAAACACTTAAATTCTGGAAATTGTCCCGATCCTGCAGGATCGCCTATGACAAAACATGTGAGTGTATTTCTATAGGTATGCGTATGTATCTGAGACATATAAGGAAATTGATTTAACCATCCATAATAGAAGCTATCAAAGCTTCAATCATCAGCTCGCATACCTCTTACTTCTCCTTGATCTCTTTGCTGAAAAATTCAAATATCTTTTATAATTAATTAAATAATTAAAAACTGAAATTAATTAATATGTAATTAATATAATGTAACTTTTAATATATTATAAATTTTTAAAATTACTCACCCTATCTAATTCTTCTTTCGTACTTTCTTCAATTGCTCTAATATCTTCCATAGTTAAACCATACCAACGATCAATCCAACAAAACACTTGTCTATGAAAGTTAGTAAAAAGACGCCTTTCTGCTTTTTGTATAAAACTTTCAACTCGATTTTGTAAACCAAACCATTTAAATTCACAAGTAACTAGTTTATAGCATGTCATTACAGGTTGAACATTATTTTTCCAATCTTTACCAATAAGAGGACCTCGACCTGTTTTCACAGATTTAAATTTAGTTGGATCTTCATCCTCCTTATAATCAGCATTTGCAATTGGATCATTTGCAATATCTATATGTATGACTTCTCTTATTTTTAATTTATCAGGAGGTAATTCATGAACCTATTAGTTAATAAATAATATTAATATATATAAAAAATAAAACTAAAATAAAACTATTTTTATAAATTTTTTACATACATTATGTTGATTTCCAACATCATCAATGTGAAATGATTCAATCATAATTACAAAATTTTCTTTCATATATCCAGGATTCTGTACAAAAAACAAAAAAATATTAAAATATAAATAGAAATTTTGTAAAAAATTTTTATAAACAAATTGTACTTACAGTAATAACTGTTTTACAATAAGGATAAGCATTCCAAGCTTCTTCATGAATTTCCAAGGAATTCTTTGGCAGCATAATACGAATAAAAGCAGGCACTTTACTAGCTAAATGATAAATCTTGTATGTATATTGACCTGAAGAATATTTTCCACCAAGTAAAGGATAATCTGTGAATGGCTCATTTTTTAACACTTGTATTCCCTCTCCTCCTCCAGTATTATTTTTACTAGCTTCTGCTACAGAATATAGCTGAGCCACTTGATACTGCCACGAAATAAATTATATTTTATAATATATAAATTATGTACAGAAAGCAATAATAAAGCAATATAAAATTCATTTTAATAAATAAAATCAATAAAATAAAAAATATTTAATCACATAAATATAAACATTATTTCTTTTTTTATAAGGAAATTTTAATATCAATAATAATTTATTTATTATAAAAAATATTATTTTTATAACTTTAAATAATTTGTTTTTTTATAAGAAAAATCAAATATTAATAAAGGAAAAAAAATTAGCAATAAATGTAAAAATATGGGAATAATTAAAAATTAAATTAAGCAAAATATGAAAAAGATAGAATATATGCATTCTAAAAGAAAAACATTTATTATATTCTAACTGAATAATAATAAATCTAACAATAAAATGAGCATGATAAGACAAGATTTGATAGATATATCAAATTAAAAATTCAAAACATTCAAGATAATCATATGCTTCTAAATAATAATAAACTATAATTAAATGATTTGCAATTTTTGATAATTGCATAGTATTGATGTAGAAGTTATTTAAGTTTTTATTTCTATTCAATTGCAATAATATATTTCAAAATGGGTCATTATAATGAGATCTTATTATTCATTAAATACATACCTCTTTCACATTAAGAGGCAAAGTGACACGGCTGTAACAGAAATTAATAAATTATATTTCAATTACTAAATAAAAAGTAATCATATATTTATAAGCAACGACCTTGAATACACTTTAATATGAACTTAAGTATCACACTCCAGGTATTGAAAATTGAACGATAAATAACGTATGATGAACAAATTTCTTTTGAAAACAATACTTATCAGTTAAAATAAAATTATTCACCGCATGTAAAATGTTATCCGTATGGATGACAAGGGATGAAAGTGCATCCCTCTTTACCCCTCCAATCCCACCCGCCGTTAAAGATTGGTAACCATATCCCAAGAATTACTTTTAAATGTTCGAT